TCTTCTAACCCTTGAAAATGAGATATAAGGCTTCATTATATAGCAAAATATCAAACTTGGTCAAAAATATCTGAGCTAGGACAAGTGGCATAAGCTGGAAACAACTGGAGGAGAAATATCTGCCAATTCTAGGATTTCGGGACATTTTTGGCCGATCGGCCAACATTTGTGGCCGATAAGGTTCACTTTTGGCCGACCTATGGCTGATGAGGTCCAATTGTGGCCGATGAACCTCCATAGAGGCCGATGGAAAAAATCAGCCCTGGTCCCTGACTTGAAGCAAGCCTAATTCCTTCATCTGGACTTCTTTTCAAGTCATTCTTGAGCCTAAACTGTAGCCCCGGAAGTCTTATTTCAAAATTTGGAAGCCTCACCTCAAAATTCCATGTGTGCTAGGAGATATCCCTCTTTTAGTGAAGGTTGCTCAGTTTCGGTCCAACCGGAATGATGCCCAATTTCAACCAATCATATCTCCCCCATCCGGACTTGGCTTTAGGAGATTCTTGAGTGTAAAATGAAGCCCTGGAAGTATTATTTCCAACGGTGGTGGCCTCATTACTTAAATCCAAGTATTCAAATGGATAGGCCTGATTTAGCGAGGGCTGCTCGACTCTCTGTTAGCGATTCATGCCCATCTTCTTCTCCAACTTGGTTTCTTCCCTCTTCTCCTCTTTTCTTCAACTCCAAACCCCTGAACAAGGTGTTTTGAAAGATATTTCAAAGATTTCATCTCTCTTTCATTCATTTCCACTTTGTCTTTGCTCGGTTTACCGAAAAGTGTAACATTTGATAAAATGCGAGCCTCGGAACATCGCAGAAACCTTTTTCAAAATATTTTGAAAGAAAGGAGTTTAAGATCTAAAATCTTTTTGGTCCAAAAATGGGGTGTGAGGTTTGGATTTGACTCTCTCCTTGCCTGAGAAATCGAACCTTTGTACTGCACACCTTTCATCACCAAGTAAACCATCAGTAACGCCCAAGTCTTAGGGGCGGTCAAACATGGGGTGTCTAGAAGTGTAAAAAAAATGAGATACAATCAGCCCTAAAGGAGGAAGAAAAATAGAGCCCCAAACTGCCCAGATTGTCGCACATGCGGCGCTTATCCCCGCACGTATGGAGTGCCTTCCCCGTACCTGCAGCCCTCACCCCCGCACGTACGGTGGCCCTGCCGCACCTCAGCCCGCACTTGCCTTTTAGGTAGTGTGCAACTCTCCCAACTCATCCCCTCTCGCACGTGCGGCGTAATACCCCGCACGTGCGGCCCTAGCCCAGTAGTCCAGAAGTCTGTTTGCTCACTCCTGGACACTCTGGACTCGACGATGCACCATCTGAAGCAAGAGAGATTCAAATCCCCAAACAAGACAAAACAAGAACTATTATTTTGAGAATCATTTCCGAATGTGTCGAAGCCAACGAAGGTAAAAGGAGGACGAAGCGAAGGAAGAAGTGAAGAAAAGAAAGGAAAAGAAAGGAAAGGACCTGGTCGTCACATTTCAAGTTTTTGAGTTATATGTTTCACTTATTATATAGACAAACCAATTGCTTTACATAGAATTTTTGCGTGTTTGTATTCCATATCAATAAAGCAATCTGTCAATTTTTTTTGTATATGTTTTTCTTTTTCTTGTATTTGAGAAAATTTAGTATTTTAAAAGTTACAATAGTGTTGAAGTTCAAACAATACACTCCTAAGTCACAAGGAGAGCAAACAACAATAAATGGGAAGGATAATTGAGAATTACTGGAATGATCAAATAGATGGCTTTTATAGAGGAATTAGAAAATTTTTACCATGAGGAAGAAATTTTAGTTTGGAAGCACATATGGCCAATTTGAGTCTTAAAACAATATGTTAACAAGAAACTTATCAAAGACTCCTTTGTAAAGAGGACACTTTTGTTTTTATTACCCTTTTCTTTCTTTCCATTTTTGTTTTTGTTTTGTTTTGATTTATTTTATTTTATTTTATTTTTTTGTTTTTTGTTCTTTTGTATTTTTGTGTGTGTATAACTAGAATTTTGAGTCATACAATTGGTGTATATGAGATGGAGAGTATTGGCGATGTGTTCTCTCTCTTTTATCCAATCACTTTTACATTTGAGTGTTCACTATTGTTAATTGTACTTCAATTTTTTTTTGGCACAATTTTTTCCTAGTCCAATAGATATGTGTTTTTTCTTTCTTGCTAAAGTTTTAGCTTCAAGTCGTGTGAGACAAATGGCTAGAACATTAATCTTAGATAATAAAAAATAATTATAAAAAAAAAAAAAACTAAAGACCAAATAAGAAAGACAAAATTACTTATATTAATGTGTGATTTTGGTACATATGAAAAAATAAAAATAAAATATTTATAAGATGTTCAGTCCCTTCCTTTTTTTTTATATTCTTATATATTATAAGAATGTAGTATGGAACATAAAAGTCCTCCAAACCCTTAATACTAACTCTTTATCACTTTCTTTCCTACTGATATTCTCTCAAAGTCCCCTTTACTAATTTTCCTAATTTTTAAAAAAATAAACATGAAAAAAAAAAATCTGATATACAAACAAATAAAGTTAACAAATTTGATCTATCTCACTTCTATTAAAATCTTTCTTAATTAACAAATTTGATCCTATATGAATAAACATAAAAAAAAAAAAATCTGATATACAAACAAATAAAGTTAACAAATTTGATCTATCTCACTTCTGTTAAAATCTTTCTTAATTAACAAATTTGATCCTATCTGTTCAAATAAAATATTTATTTTACCTCTTAATATCTAATTTTAAATTTTATTTTTTAAAAAGTCTACCTGAACAAATCTAATTTGAAAATTTGATTTTATTTATCTGAATTTTTATTTTTACAAGAGCTTCAAACATTAAATAGAAGTTTTCAATTTTAAAATTTTTAAATATATATATATATATATATTTGGCATAAAATATATATAAACCCATAACAAATATAGATAGATAGATTTATGGCATTCAGTTTATTATTAATTTTTTTTAACATATATATGTTTTAGACATTAGGGCCATTGAGAAACATCTTATTTATTGTTAGTATTATTTCATTAGTTAGAAATCAAGTTTATTATTTCTAGAAAAATAGATAGAGTTGAATGATAATAACATTTTGTGAATATATGCTTTTTAAATTATTTCCTTTACTTACGAAATTTGAGAAGATGATCTTTATTCATTATGATTATAATTTTATGACAGAACTTAGAACTTAATGCATTATTAAAAAATTTATACACTATTAAATCAGTCCCGTGCATAGCACAGATTTGCCACTAATATATATATATATATGATTGTGATCCTCTCCATTCCATGTATATAACGGGAAATTTTCATTACATCTAATAGTTAAGAAATACGAATGTAAAATTTTAATTATCTTCAATTAAAAAATAAGATTATTACATTCACCATTATGTCATTCTTAGCCTTGTATTGTGCTCCTCTTCGCTACCTGCCACAAGGAGCCATGTTTGTAATGCAGCTGCTGCTATTCTTATTGTGAAAAACACTCTTAAACACTTGCAGAAAAGGAAAATTGATTTGCAAACATACAATCCTTAATAAATAAATAAATAAATCAGAATGATGTATCAATGACATTTGTGAAATAATGAGAAAAATAGTACGTATTTTGATTGAAAATGAAACGATGACAAAAAGATACCTGATTCTGTATAATAATAATGCTTTTTAAAAGGGGCTTATCTACGAGTCCTCGCAATCAGAAGATGCAGTTCAAGTGGCTTAACATGTTGCAAAACTTCTTGTCAGGTTTGGTAATGGTTTAACTTCAAAGGTCACAGTCAGATAGGTCAGGAAATTTAGTCAAAAAAACCGTGCCTTTTCCAGTAGTTGATTTGTTCGATCTTCGCCTTTAGCCCTGGAAAGGAACTAGAATAAAAAATTTGTTAAAATCTCACATTCAATCAGATATTTGAATGCTAAATATTCTCTGCAAGCAACAACATAACTGAATTATGGATTGTTCAGACATCTACCACAGCAAAACAAAAAGAAAACATGTTCATTGGGAGTCTTTATTAAAAGTTATCTATTACCCAATTCTCAACCATGAAACATTCTTCAGTAAAACATTGAGAGTTTTCTAGGAAGTCTCACAAAAGTATCAAAGCAACTTAATAACACAGTTTTCTGAGCCTCTAGGAAGCATCTGTATGTGATAGCTAAGCTGCTCTGGATTCGTATCTTCTGGCGAATTACCTGAGCAGTATATCAGCATCTGCTCCAAAACGGTTGCATTCTTCAACAAAAATCTTAGCATATGAAACTCTGCCGGCGTCCCATAAAAAACTGTGATGCTAATCGTTTTGAGGCAAGACGTGAAACATGAAGGTACTCTTTCCAACCTCAAATCAACCTCATCGAAACTAGCATTTGGCTCGAAGCCCTATATGAAAAGTGCCAATTTACAAAAATTCAGTGAAATCAATTTAGCAACTGCCTTTGGATATCAAAGATATATACCAAATCAGAATTGAAGTGATAAGAGAGAAATAGACCAAATCATGGGTGTTCAGAGATGTACCATGTCAAAATCAAGAAACTCTAGCTTTGGATTTAAGCCAGATTTACTGATATTTCATTCTCCAAAGAAAAAGCCAGAACTATTTATAGAACATAGGTTGCATCACTTTCATATCCAAAAACAGAACATATCTTCTTCAGTAAAGCATGTCATGATCAGCTAGACTAAAACTTCTTCATAAAGGGACACAACGAATCAACATCGTGGAATTTATTTTGAACAACTATTTTCAAAGGACAGTCCATAAATAATTTCAATACAACGAATCAGCCCATAGGAGGCTTGAAAGGACAGTCCATAAATAATTTCAATACAACGAATCAGCCCATAGGAGGCTTGAAAGGACAGTCCATAAATAATTTCAATACAACGAATCAGCCCATAGGAGGCTTGAAAGGACAGTCCATAAATAATTTCAATACAACGAATCAGCCCATAGGAGGCTTGAAAGGACAGTCCATAAATAATTTCAATACAACTAGGGAATCACAAGTAAAAAGGCAACAAGGCAAGACAAAGCGGGTTTGCACAGGTAGGGACAGATCAAGCTCTTCAACATTATGCCTCACAGCAGCAGAGATCCATGAATTAAGACGTGATGAATTCACAACCACAGTGAACCTAAGACGAAGTCTTTTAATATCTGAAGCATCATGAAGAAGGAGAACTCTTTCCACAAAATCCAAGAAGGAACTCCTACACATTGGATAACGATCTTTCTTCTTGCCCTTATCTTTCTTTCTGTTAGACCAAGAAGACATATCATTCAAATCAATGTTGGAAATAGAGGTCCATAAATATTGCCATCTTCTTGATAATATGGACGTTTGTATGGCCTCTTTGGTTTTGAGGAATGAGAGGATGTGATGGAGAACATTTTCCGGCAAGCTGGTCATCATATCAATGCCCTGGCCAATATTATGTTCTTCAGAAAGCTTTTGCTTTTTGGAAGAAGGTGACAACACATTATCATCCATTTTTTTGTTTTCTTTTGCAATCACTGCCTAAAAACAGGGATGTAAAAGTCATTAACCATGAGGTATGTGAAGGAAAGTTTATAGAACTCATAACAAAGAGCAAATTGATCATGCGAATAACTAAAGATTTGCTTGTTTTATAATTATAAATGGTGCAAGAGATCATAAGTCGCCAATTCCTATAGCACCAACTATGCATTTGTCGATCAATCCCTATAATATCAGCCGTACATTTGTCATCAACTCAATAATCTTATCCCTAAATTCGCCGTGTCTATAGGGAGGCGATCAAGTGTGCCAATATTATAGCCAATTTAGGAGATCAATAGGCGGAAGAGTTTTAAAAAATTTCTTCTATTCCAATATTTATTAATAATCAAACCCTATGATGATGCTAGAGGGGTCTTATACCCAGATTAGGATCCTTCGCCATACTCATGTTTGCAATGCTTTTTACCCTATACTACCCAAATTTTCAACCCCAAAATGTTGTAGTTTTGAAATTTGTAGTATAAAAATAAATCTAAGGCTGTTGGACCTCCGCTGATACATCAAGCTGCAGTGAAAAGCATTGCAAGATCATTGCTCCGACACTGATGTATAATTTTATTCAAGTTTAATGGAAATTCCTTAAAAAAAAATTAAAAAAAAAGGTTAAAATTTCTAAATTTATTGCATAGACATGTTATTGAGATACATAAGCAAAAAGGGTATATATGTATTGTCCAAATCAGTCCTAGACAAGAGTATAAAATATACCACTAAAAAAAAAAGTTTTATCTAAACACATTACTGAACAACAGAAGATGAATCAAACAGAGACAGAAATCCAGAATTACTACTAAGTTGAAACCCCCCCTGAGAAGAGGTTTTCTTTTCTTACATTTGCCTTAGAAATGAGTCCATTTCACTGAATGTAGAGGAAATTGCCGATTGCTTCAAACAAGCATACATACATACATATATATATATATAAAATATACATACAGAGAGAGAGAGAGACCTTGCTGTCCAGACTAGGGTTAGGGTTTGAATTCTTTTGAACTGAGCCCTTCGCGAGAGAACTCTCGCAGACTGTTACACCGTCCGCGTTGTCGTCGTTAGGGATATGTCTTGTTTTTTTTTTTTTTTTCTCAATCCCAATACATTAGTGCTATTAGTAGTGTATTTTTTAATGATCTAAATCATTGTTGTTTTGTTTATTAGATATTTAATTTTTTTTTATTATAAAATATTCATGATTCTAAATGATATTTTAGAGAGTAAAATGAGATTGCAAAATCAGTTTGATTATAAATGATAGCTGGTGGTAGACTAAAATTGATTCTATTTATACATTATTATTTTCTTAGTATATATTATTTGCTCAGCTCACACCTTATACTAGTTTGAATATTTTATTGGAGGAGGAGCCCTTCCAGTTCAGATTTTGGATTGAAGTGCGTTGTTTAGCCGATGGAGCTCTCCACGGTGTCACGTATCGACTCATTAGGGATGCGAGTTCTACACCAAGCACCTTGCAAGCGCATTAGTTTGTGAGTGTCAAAGCAGGCAGGATAGATGTCTATCGCATCTCCTGGGTTGGTCCTTGGGCTTAATACACGAGGTTATGTGGTACCACTCGTGGAGCCGACTTCTCGAGAGGATGACAACCACCCAGGTTGTGACAAAGTGGTATCAAAGCCAATCTAGGGGCATTGTGACAAGGACGATACGCAGGACTTACACCAAGTACCTACATTGTGGGGTCCGCGCCAAGGGTGGTGTCCGCATGGGGCGGTTTCCCATGGGTAAGGGAACGAACAAGCATGAAGACCGGCAGGGTAATGTCCCCCTAACGAGGGCGTAAGGGATTGGCGGTGATAGCATGTCACGTATCGACTCATTAGAGATGCGATTTCTACACCAAGCACCTTGCAAGCATATTAGTTTGTGAGCGGTAAGACAGGCAGGGTAGATCCCCATCGTATCTCCTGGGTTAGTCCTTAGGCTTAATACAACGGGTATACAGTACCACTCGTGGAGTCGGCTTGTCGGGAGGATGACAAGCGCCTAGTTCGTGACAACGGGCCCCATTTCGATAATCCGAACAGTTCATTTTGTTAGGCACTTCCTGTATTTCATCCAAAAAATAAATAAAATTAGGTCAATGCGATAATTGTAACTTGTTCATTTTTTCACCAAAAAATAGATAACAATTGTGTTTTTAAAAATAAATCATATATTTTTTTAGCGACAAAAATCATAAATTGAACAAGTTACAATTATCAGATTAACGTTTTTTTTTTTTTTTGGTAGATGAAATAGACAAAGTGTTTGACAAAATGAACCATTCAGATCATTGAAACAAGACCTATGGTGAGCTCCACGGACCCAAACAGTGCTCCTATTCCTATTTTATTTTATCTCAATACACCTGCCTTCCTTCTTGTGACAACCCTACTCTATGTTATGCTAATTAATCTGAATTATGCTTATAATTATATGCATGATATGATTTGAGTGCTAATTATGTGATTATTTGTGATTTTGAATTTCTATCTGCTCACCGTAGGAAAATTTGTTCAATTTCCTGTTACAAATTTAAATTGAAGGCCGTAAAGGCGACAGAAAGCGAAATCGATTATAACATTGCGATTGGCATAATTTTTAGAGCCTATGGTGAAATTTAATTAAAAAAAATTTAGTTCGGATCAAAAGAATTGGATTAAATTAAGTGTGGTTTATTAACCATAAAGAGAGTTTGATTAGTTTAAACTAATCACCTAGTATATATAAGAGCCAAACACACTTAAGCTCATATTGTGTGCTCAAAATCTGAAAATACACTCTATAGAGAGAGAGAGAGAGAGAGAGAGAGAGAGAGAGAGAGAACAATTTGAAGAATTTAGCTCAAGCTTGGAGAATTGAGGAGAATTAACTCAAGAACTAGCTAGAATTTGTAAGATTGAAGCTCCTAGGTGAGTAATTGAACTCAAATTCATGGGTTTATATTCATAACTAAGTGAATTCAAAGATGATATGAAGTTAAGAACAAGGTTTGAGTTGCAAATGATGAAAATGGGATCAATATGTATAAACACGTAACAAATTGCTAAGAATCTTCATACTTAAGTTTATAACATGTTAAACAAGTTAAATTGGTAGTCATTTGAGACATGCATCTATGAATAATGAGGTTATGAGGCTTAATTGCATGTTTTGAAGATGATAGAATAAGAATTCATGAAAGATCATACATGCATGAGAGTTTTGAATATCATTTTGACAAATTCATGGAGAATATGGTACCAAATGCATAATTTTGTTGAGCTTCATGGTTTTGAACAACATTTGTATCATTTGAAATGGAATGAGAGTCTATATTTCACATGCATGCATAGTCCATGAAGATATGAAGCTTGGTTGCTTGAATTTGAACTTACCAAGAAGAATATGGAATGATTTGAGAATTGGATCATAATTTTGGACAATTGGTCTCAAATTACATATGTTCCCATGTCATGTAATGTTTTTCCATGTTTTTGTACCAAAACTACGAGTTTTGAGCCTTTGGAAACAAGTTTTGAACTTCAAATACAGTTCTGGAAATTCCAAAATTCGGCATGTCTGCTCGAGCAAGGACAGTGTTGCTCGAGCGTAAAAATCAAGCTTCTAGAAGTTTTACAGAGATTTGCACGGTAGCTCGAGCGGCAAACCTTGCGCTCGAGCGGACCCTATTTTGCATGGCTGATCACTCGAGCGACAGAAGTCTCGCTCAAGTGTAAAATTCATGCAACCAGTACTTTTACAGAGTTTGCAGTCCGCTCGAGCGGAGTGCCCTGTTTCAAAAACTTTTGAAAAACTATTTTACATTCCTAATTTCGTTCTCTTTCATTTTTGAGTATTCTTAGGCACGCATTGAGCATTCTAAATGAATTAAGGGCACGAAAGAAGCCTAAGAAAGTTAAGTAAACGAAACAACGGATTGAATTGTATTATGACCCAATGTGTTGTGGATTATGTAGGGTCAAGTACGAGGACGAATCAGGCTCCCGAACACGGTGAGTAATATCTTAGCAAAGATATTTTTGTATATACATTATTTTCTAAATGGCGCCTATGTGGTAAGGTTCTAAACTTTTGAAGTGATATTATGAATGAGTATTATAATCACTTAATTTGAAATGAAATATGCGAAGTGATTGACGTACGAGTACGAAACTGGCCTAAGGCCATTCAGTATATTCAGTAAGGATGTGGATTGGGCCCAAGGCCGTTCTGTATAAGTGTTAAATGGACCGGAGGCCGTTCAGAATAAGGAATTGAATGGACCTAAGGTCATTTTGGATACAACGATGAATATGTGTATGACCATAGATCTAAATGTGTGCACACAAATGTGTATATGAATTGGACCTAAGGTCGTTTTGCGTATAACGGACCCAAGGTCGTTCTGAGTGTAAGTTGGAGCCAAGGTCACTTTGTCTATGATGGACCTAAGGTCGTTTTGTATGCTACATGGGCCCGAGGTCGTTTTGTGTTTTGGATATGATAGAAAGGACCTAAGGCCGTTTTGCTCGATTATTGATTACCAAGTGTAATAGAGAATTATGATTATAAGAATCTTGTTCATGAACTCCTTTGTTTTAGTATTATTCACTAGGCGTTAGCTCACTGTTTATATTTATGTATGTAGATGAGCAATGAGATGTCCAGCCCCAGCCCTAGTCCCAGTGAGCTATGAGATATCAAGACTTGAGGTGTCAACCAAGGTCGTCTCACGTAGGAGGCCTTGTTTTGTTTTGCTTTCCTTTTGCTTTTTTGCTATCTTATGTGGCCAAGTAGTGTATAACTTTGGTTTTTGTTAACTTTGACTTTTGAATGATCCTAGACTTATGTAGTACATAATATGGATGTGTGTATAGTGTAAGTTATTACACTTATGAGAAAGTTTTCGGTTAAGTCATATATGCATAGCTCATTAGACAATTTTTGTAAGTTTTTGCTTTCGCTATTTGGCCCTTGTAATTAAACATGATTTGATTTCTGACTGAGGCCGTAGGTAATCTCATGATTACTGGCCGGTTATGACCCTAATCCATAGGAGTGGGTTCGGGCTATGACACTTCTTCTCTAGTCATCGCCTTTCATTCTCATTTCGTCGCAGCCTTTCTCACCCACTTCCTTCTTCTTCTTCTTCATTCTTCTATTATTCTCGAGCTTCAACCGCCCTCACCAACCCTAGCTACCACGACCTGCGTTCTTACTCAGAATTATAGGTATTAACCCCGTGACCCACCACCCTTGTAGCCTTCCACTATCATGACGCACCATTGCCATAACGTTACCAATTGCGACTTCCAACTCACAGCAAAAGAGAGAATTGCAATCCATAGTTGTGCGGGATGTAAGAGAGTGAGAGAGAGATCTAGGATTTCAAGAACAAAGAAGAAAGATGAAGGCAGAGAGTCGCAAGGAGGGTTGAGAGAGAGAGAAGGTGGCATCGGGAAGGATGCGAAGAGGAGATGAGGGTGGCATTGAGAGGATGCAAAGAGGCAACAAAGCCAACGCTGGAGTCGGAGGTGGGGCAATGGCTACTATGACCGATGAATGGTAGTAGGGTGTATAAATGTAATGAGAAATTAGTGTTGTCCAAAAGTGTAATTTGGTTGAGGGACAAAAATGTAAAAAAATTAGAAAGATAGTGGGTAGTGAGAAAAAGAGTGGTGTGCATATAAAATTACCTATAATTTAAATGTACAATTGATATTATTAAATAATAAGAGTTAAATTGATTTTTGAGTGATATTTTAAAAGGTATAATTGAAATTTTCAAAAGTAACTAAAGATTACTTTCATATTGTGTTTTTGTTTTGCTTTTTTTTACTAAAGATTACTTTCATCTTGTATTTTTTTTTTTGTTTTTTTTGAAAGGGAATGATTTGTCCCCGGTTAAAATTTTAACTGGATCAGACAGTTGAGATCTTTGACCGGTAAAAATAATTAAACAGAAGACTCTTATCGGTAAAAGTTTTTGAAAAAAATTCAACTAGGCCATTTTTTTCATAAACTTTGACAGGTAAGAATCTTTTGTTTAATGACTCTTATCAATTAGAGA